CATGTCCCACGGACTTGTGCACCTTCAGGTTCGTGTTGATGGCTTGGTACTGATGAGATCTCAGGCAGGTGGGATTATTAGTATTGCTGTTGAGGAGATCCACATGGTTAGAAAGATGAATCTCTGAGCTACCAGTAGTAAGTGCCAGGCCAATTTAGGTTTCTGAATAAATTGAGCAATGATAAGTAGAATGAGATGGGAAAGATGTGGTTAAAAATAGTAAGCTACTAACATGGTGATTACTCCTGCATTATTTTTTTTTATTTGTTAGTGAATGATCTAATACTCGTCTTCATTCTGTCTCACTAGAGACTTTCCTGAGGGCTGGTTAGCTCAGTCGGTTAGAGCGTGGTGCTGATAACACCAAGGTTGCGGCTTTGATCCCCGTTTGGTCCCCATGTGTTGCCTGATCTAGTTGAGAGGCGTCCCTGCCCATAACAGTGAGATTGGATTAAATGATCTCTAAGGTCCCTTCCAGCCTAGGTCATTCTATGATTCTATGATTTAATTTTTGATCTTTTAGGTTGTTACCTGCTTATACTGATCAATATTCCTCTATTTTGGTGATTCAGGACAGCCAGCATGATTCTGTGATTGTATTTCAAAGGTCCGTACTGCTTTTTACCTTTTCCTACTACTACTGGAGTGTAGTGTCTGATCTGATGGATTTTTTTTAAAAGGTTAGAGTAGTAAAATGCTTTGTGAAAGAATTATAGCAATTTTATTAATTTCCTTTCTTACTTTCCGACAAATTTATATTGCACTTCCCATTTCTCATCTGACAAAACCACTGAAGAAATACTCTTCAGTAAAATCATTAGTTGGAAAGGGCAAGACTGGATTTTAAAATCCAGATTCCCATGAAACACACTGCATATCGGGTTTGTTTTTTTTTTTTTTTTAAATGGCTCTTCTCAAGAATATGGGCTTTTTGAGGTTTTGAGGTTTGTTTGGGGGGGCTTGTGTGTTTCTTTTGACTTCTTTTGGTTGGTTGTTTAAATTTTTTGCAACTACCTACAATCTATATTAAAAAAAATCCTTGAAATAGAATCACAGAATTGTAGAGTGTTTCT